ACCGGCTCTCGTCCAATTCCAATTTTTTTCGCCCAGAACGGGGCTTTTAGTGGCAATCTCCTATCAACCCGAGGGTCTTCAGGGACTCAGGCAATACGACACAGCCAGGTGATCAGCGAAGGTAAGTAGTGGCCCTTGGTTAGCTCAAGTGATCTAATGAACATATCTTCATGGATGAGCCGTGCCACATCAAAATCACTGTGGGACATGAAATAGTGGAACGCCCGCGATATATTAACATCTGTCGTATTGCTGGATGGCAACAATCGACTGTTGACAATGGTAAGCCAACTCTTAGCCTCCTAATTCAGACAGTGGGAGTTGAGAGTAATCTTGTGCTTGATCCATAGGTGTTCTCCGTCTGGCACACAGATAGTATCAAGAAGAGTTCCCCACAAGGCCCGTATACCGCTAAAAGTACGATAAGGATCAAATTCACCCCTAAACACTGGCAGCCTGTATACCCTACAGATGGTGTCGAGGGATGCATTTACCGGGGTATTGCGCACCGTCACAACCCCATTCTCATGTTCTGGCAAGTTCGCATAGAACTCCTTTATTAGTTGAACATTAGACTCATCCGGTACCTCGAAGAAGATATTCAGCTGACACCGCCTCAACTCATTAAACATATTGGGGCATTCTACCTCCAAAGCGGTTCGATCAATGTGCACCTCATATTGTAACTTCTTAGCTTCTTTCTGGTTATACCTATCCTCCGCTGCTTTGGATACAAACCGAGTGCTATCGAACTGAGGTGCACTGGCTTGGCTCCTGGCTCGTGAGGAACCTCTCGGTCCACTAGTGGAGGGATCGATGTTTCGTCTCTTTCTAGCTGAACTCATTGCACCTGTCAAACAACGAAACACCTATTAGTGAGTGAGCAAAATATGTGACTATGGATGGTTACTCAGACTTCACCACAACCATGTCACAATAGCTCCTTATATCTCCATTAGGGCAATTTCCCAAACACCTTGTGGGCTGGGCATTATCCAAACACATTTAGCCCTCATGAGTCTATCAAAACTCCTCCCAAATCAATTATGCAACTACACCAACACACCCCACACTTGTGTCATTCAATCACCCACCAACAAACATCATTCCAAACATTAATTACACAGCCCCTTCACCAAACATTCTCAAAAACGAAATTAAAATAGAAAAAACAAGGAGAAGAAACTACAAAAAAAATCTACTACAATTACAACACCATATCAACCTCAAACTATCATGAACAACAACAAAATACAAAAAGAAAAGAGAAGGGAGGGTTAGAATAATACCTTAAGGGAGGAAAGAGGAGAGGAATGGAGATGGGGGGGGGAGGGGGTAGTGTGAGTGGAGAAGAAGAAGGATAAGAAGAGAGTATTTTGGGGGTTAGGGTTTAGAGAGAGAGAGATTGAGAATTTAGGGGAAAAAGATCGGGTATTGTAATGTTATGAGGGGGGTTTGGGTTTTAAAATTAAAAGAAGAAGAAAAGAGAAAAGAGAAAAAAATGGAAAAAAAATCAAAATACCTGGTAACCCCCGCGGTCCACCGCGGTGGGTTTAAAAATTTGAGGCAGAATGTTCACGCCTCACCGCGGTCGCGGTGGGATGAAAAATCTGAGGCAGAATGTTTGCCTTCCACCGCAGTCGCGGTGCTGGCGTTTTTTTTTTTAAGTTACATGAACACACTCATGGGTTGTCTCCCACGCAGCGCCTGATTTAACGTCGTGGCACGACGCAAGCATTTGATCATCACTCCTCATTCGCGTACTAGGGCTCTTCCAAATTGATTACCATTCTATCCCCTTTTTCTTCAGCCATTCCAAGGTAATGTTTCAATATTTGCCCATTTACTGTGAACTTGTTTGTCCCATCTTCTGATTCAATCTCTATAGCTCCACTTAAGAACATTTGCACCACTCTGAAGGGTCCTGACCATCGGGACTTTAACTTACCCGGAAACAATCTCAATCTCGAGTTGTATAGCAACACTAGATCTCTGGGTTTAAAGTTTTGATCCAATATGTGCTTATCATGCATTAATTTTATCCTTTCTTTGTATAATCTAGCACTCTCAAAGGCCTGAACCTGAATTCCTCGAGCTCATGTAACCCAGTGATTTTGTTAGAACCTGTTGTCTCCATGTCTAAGTTTAACTGCCGCAATGCCCAAAGTGCTTTATGCTCTAGCTCAACTATGAGGTGGAATGCCTTGCCAAACACCAACTTGTACGATGACATACCAATTGGGGTTTTGAAGGCTGTGCAGTACGCCCACAATGCATCATCCAATTTCTTTGCCCAGTCAGTCCTTGTTGCATTCACTGTTTTTGTGAGGACACTTTTAATCTCTCTGTTGGACACTTCAAGTTACCCGCTCGATTGTGGGTGGTACGGGGTGGTCACTTTATGACGAATTCCATATTTTTCCAACATCTGTGTGAATGCTCTATTGCAAAAATGGGTTCCACCATCACTGAGTATAGCTCTTGGGGTACCAAAATGTGTGAAAATGTTCTTCTTTAGAAAGCCCAGTACCCCTTTAGCATCATTGGTCGGGAGAGCCACTACTTCGACCCACTTGGAGACATAGTCAACTGCTACCAATATGTACTTGTTACCATACGAGCTGACGAATGGCCCCATGAAGTCAATCCCTCACATGTCAAAAATCTCAACCACTTGAATTGTGGTCATTGGCATCTCGTGTCTACGAGATATGTTGCCAGTCTTTTGGCAATCATCGTAGCTTTTAAGACAATCATGGGCATCCTTGAACAGAGTAAGCCAGTACAAGCCTAACTCCAACACCTTAGCTGTTGTCCGAATTCCTCCAAAGTGTCCACCATATGGTGAAGCATGGCAAGCCTGCAAAACAGAATGTTGATCTTTATCTGGGATACACCGCCGGATCATGTTATCTATACATATTTTAAACAATAAAGGTTTATCCCAATAATAATACCGACAATTATGAAAGAACTTTTTATTTTGAATTGAGGAGAGTTCATAAGGTACAATAGCACTTGCTAAATAATTAGCAATATCAGCATACCAAGGTCCTCCTCCATTGTCATTGTCAGTAACTGTTCATCCGCGAATGTCTTTATTATATCCTTAACCTCTACCTTCTTTTCAGCTCCTTCCAACCTTGAGAGGTGGTCAGCTACTTGGTTCCTCTGTCCCTTTTCGATCACGTATTTCCAGATCGAATTCTTGTAATAGAAGAACCCAGTGAATCAAGCGTGGCTTTGACTCCTTCTTTTCTATCAGGTACCTAATTGCTGCATGGTCAGTGTAAACAATAACTTTCGAGCCAATCAAGTATGACCTGAATTTGTCGAATGCAAAAACAACAGCCAACATCTCCTTTTCCGTCACAGTGTAATTGAGTTGTGCACCGCTTAGCTTTCTGTTTGCATAATAAATCGGGTGCATCAGTTTATCCTTTCGCTGCCCCAAGACTGCTCCTATAGCATAGTCATTTGCGTCGCATATGAGCTCAAATGGTTGCTCCTAGTTGGGTGCAACAATGATGGGTGCAGTCACCAATCTCTTCTTCATCTCCTCAAATGCCAACTTGCAATCATTAGAAAGCACAAAGGGGTGATCCTTTTCAAGGAGTTTGCATAATGGGTTAGCAATTTTAGAGAAATCTTTTATGAATTGCCTGTAGAACCCGGCGTGCCCAAGGAAACTTCTCACTGACTTGACTGAAGTGGGCGGTGGTAGTTTTTCAATCACGTCAACCTTAGCATGGTCGACCTTAATTCCTTTACTGGACACTCGATGCCCCAGGACTATCCTTTCTTGTACCATAAAATGGCACTTCTCCTAGTTCAACACTAAATTTGTCTCCACACATCTTTTGAGCACTCTTCTTAAGTTGTGAAGACAGTCCTCGAATGAATCTCCCACCACGGAGAAATCATCCATAAAGACCTCCATAATATCCTCCACCATGTTTGTGAAAATGGCTAACATTCACAGTTGAAATGTCGCTGGTGCATTGCAAAGCCCAAAAGGCATTCTACGAAAGGTGAAGATGCCATACGGACAAGTGAAGGATGTTTTCTCTCTATCTTCGGGGGCTATTGATATCTGATTGTACCCCGAATATCCATCCAAGAAATAGAAGTGCGATCGCTCGGCCAGCCTGTCCAACATTTGGTCAATGAAAGGCAAGGGTAAGTGGTCCTTCCGAGTAGCTGTGTTCAATTTTCGGAAATCCATGCAAATCCGCCATCCCGTGACTGTATGAGTTGAGATCAACTCATTGTTCTCATTTGCACAACAGTCATTCCCCTTTTTCAGCACACATTGGACAGGGGTGACCCAATTACTATCAGAGATGGGGAAGATGATTCCCGCATCTAACCATTTGATCACTTCCTTCTTTACTACCTCTTTCATGTTTGGGTTCAGCCTTCATTGATGTTCTCTGGAAAGTTTGTGCCCTTCTTCCAAGAGAATTTTGTGCATACAGAAGGCTGGGCTGATACCCTTTATGTCTGCCATGGTCCAGCCAATGGCAGTCTTACTTTGCTACAGTACCTGTAAGAGTTGTTCTACCTGCACATCTAGCAAACCAGATGATATAATAATAGGCAAAGTAGAATCGGGGCCTAAGAAAATGTACCTGAGGTGAGTTGGGAGCGGCTTCAGCTCCAGCTTGGGTGGTTCCTCTACTGATGGATTTGCTGGAGGTGTAGACCTTTTTTCTAACTCAAGGGACTCGAACTGAGGTTCCCTTTTCCAGAATCCTTAGCCTTCAACTTCCATGACCCACTCAGCTAACCCTTCACCATCCATCTCTTCTAAATTTGTCAGACATGCCTCCAATGGATCTTTAGTAGTCAGGGTCACATCATCTTCTTGCAGGATCACATCCACTTCCTCCATAGAGAGCAATTAGCATATTCACTGGGTCTCCTCATAGATTGCTGAACATTGAATATGACTTCTTTATCGTTCAGTCTCATTTTTAATTCCCCAGTCTCACAATCGATCAGTGCTCTCCAGTGGCCAAAAATGGCCTACCCAAAATGATAGGTATCTCCTCATCTACCTGACAGTCCAGAATAACAAAGTCTGCAAGGAACACGAACTTCCCCACTTGCACCAACACATCATTAAGAATCCCAGTTACCGTGTGGTCAGCCAGCTGCAGCAGCATCGAAGTCGATCTAGCTCTGCCAATGCCCAGTTTGGTGTATACAGCCAGAGGCATCAAATTTATGTTGGCTACCAAATCACATAATGTCTTTGCAAAGGCATAACTCCCACTCGTGTATGGAATAGTGAAGCTACCTGGGTCGAACATCTCTTGAGCCATCGGTTTGGTCACTACTGCGCTGCAGGTCTGCGTCAGAGTCACTGTGGATAGATCCTAAAAATCAAACATCCGTGACATTAGGTCTTTCATCATCTTCGCATAACCTGGCATCTCCCTCATGGCATCCATCAAAGGAATATTCAACTGAATTTGATGCAGCATCTCCATGAATTTCTTGTATTGATCTTCCTTCTTTTGTTTTACCAGTCTCTAAGGTAATGGTGCAGGTATCACCCTTTGTGCATTGCTTGCTGGCTTCTTTCTATTGGGGTTCTGTGGTACAAGAGGCACCACTTGTTCTGCAACTTGTTCATTTACCTTAGCCTTACCCTTTTCATGTTGACCCTATTCAACCACCACTTCAGTAAGATTTGTTGGTTCATCTACCTCTAGTGGAGTTGGAGTGGATGGCGTAGTCTCTTTGCTGGCTTGTGCAACCTCCTGCTCTTTGTCTAAATCTCTCCCATTCCGGAGACTTACTGTCATCAGCTGATTCGGGTTTTGCTCCTTAGGGTTAATATTTGTATCTGCTGGCAATGTTCCCTGGGGGCGGTTGTTTAAAGCCATAGACAACTGCCCCAACTGAGTTTCAATGTTCTTTATAGCTGAATCATGTACTGCCAACTTTTCTTGCATCTTACCATTTGTCCCAATGAGTTGCTGGAGCATCCCCCTGATCTCTACCATGTTGTTATCTTGCTGATGAGGAGGTAGCTGATATGTCAACTGTTGTTGGTTCTGCTGTGGGTAGCCCTGTTGTCTCTGGTGGTATGGCACCATTTGGCCTTGAGCTTGCATGCCCCCACGCTAAGGCATGTTGGGTCTGTATTGCTGATTTGGTACCGGTCTCCATTGTTGTCCTCCTTGCCTCTGACCCCCAAAGTTTTTAACATAATTCATATCTTCCCTTGGCCCTTGATTTTCACCTTCTCCGCTCCATGAACACACATAAGACTGATTAACACAGGGTGTACACAGTCCTACATTTGTTGTGTCAACAATATGCACCTGTTTGGTGCCCATCTCATCTATCTTCTTTGTCAAAATACTCATCTGAGTCATGAGTGTGGCCATGTTCTCTGCATGCGAATTATTTGGGTCAAGAGGAACTAAATGCACTATGGGTGCCAGTGTTGTACCTTTAGTTATCCACCCCGAATTCTGGGACATCTTGTTAAGAAGGACTTTGCACTTGGTGAATGTCTTACTCAAAAATGCACCTCCAGCTGAAGCATCCACATTGGCCTTTAGATTGTAAGCTAACCCCATGTATAACCTCTGGCCAAGCATCTGGTCTGGAATGCCATGGTGAGGACACTTCACCTGCATCCCTTTAAATCTTTCCCAAGTTTCTTGCAAGGTCTCAGTCGGTTGCTACTTGTACTGCAATATTTCATCAATCTGCCTTGCAGTCTTGTTGGGTGGGTAGAACTTATTCAGGAACTGCTTTACTAATTCCTCCCAGGTGACAATAGAATTGATTGGGAGTGAATTCAGCCAAGTTTGAGCTTCCCCAGTCACATAGAACGGGAACAGTAATAGCTTGATAGCTTCTTGGGTCACATTTGGCTGCCTTTGAGTCACACAAATTGACAGAAAATTTTTCAAATGTTGCTGAGGGTTTTTGTGAGCACATAATTTTTGCCTCACATGAATTACTCCAAAGAATTCCCAAAATTATTTTTTTTTATTTTATTTAATTATTTGCTATTCTAGGAATTATTGTAGAATTTTCTTGATTATTTACATTTCTTGTGTGCACATTTAATTTTGTTAAAATCATAAAAAATACAAAAATATCGCATTTGCATTTAGGATTTAATTTTTATATTTTTAGATTAATTAATACATTAATTTGTTTAACAAAAAAATAGAAAAGATCAAAAATATAGTCATGTTGTATTTTTTGCATTTCTATTTCGAATTTTGGAAGTTTTTTTAATTTGGTACTTAATTAATCGTGGTAATTATTGTTTAGAAATAATAAAGTTAATTTGATAGAATAATTTGATTTAGGGATTAAATTAGGATTTTATTTTAAAAAGGGGGATTTAAAATTGAAAAAGAAAAATTAAAGGGGGNTCAGAACCCCCCTGCTCTCATCGTCTCTCTCTCACACTCCTCTCTCTCTCTCAAAAACCAACCCCCAAACCCTAGCGCCGCCACCATTCCCCCACCGCCTTAGGGTGGCGACGCCACCTCCAAACACCTCCAAAATTACACCCCTTAACCACCCAGACCCCTTTTTCCCAAATCCTTACTCCATTTCCCTCGAACATGGCCTGAACTCTTCGAATTTCAAATCAAGGGTTCGAGTCTTAGAAGCCATAGCGAATTCGTTCATGCAAAGACATCCCTCGAGGTTTTACTCAGCATTCAAGGTCTATTTAGTCCTGAAATAACGTTGCTCGCTTGTTCTTGGCAAAGAACAAGTGAATGACGTTATTTGCGGATTAAATTAGAGGGTTAGTCATGAGGTCAAGCCGAATCGGTGAGTTTCTTCATTTTTCATTTTGTTCTTCTTAGCTTCCTCTCCTTTTCTCTTCTTTTATTTCCAATTGAATAAATTAAAACTGGAACAAATTTTAGCTAAAATTGATTATTGGTTGTGTTGTTCCTTTCCCATTTTTCTTCTCCAAGTTTTGTTGTGTGATTTTTCTTGTTTGGTCTGTTTGATTCTGTCATTAACATCATGTTTAAATTCTGATTTTTTCAGTCGTATAATTAGTTTAATTTAAATCTTGCTAATCTGATAGTGTAGTCTAATTACAGCTCCCTAATCAATTTTAAAAGAAGAATCAGTCATTTAGCTAGAATTTGTTTTTTGGAAACTCGTTTAGTTGTTTAACTCGTCTGGTCTTTCATTGAGTAGTCCAGATAGAATTCGAATTCTGTTTGGGCCCTGGGTTCAGTTCCGACCCATTTATTTCAAAGAACAGCCCATTCATTTGGGTTTAATTTGGTCCATTTGGTTTTGAAGCAATTAGCAGGGAGTCTCACCTAATTTAGGAAGCTTCCCATAGTGGTAGGGTTTAGGAAAATGCACTACTGATTAATTTAAAGAACTAAGTTAAGTGGAGTTAATTAAAAATTGTTGAAAGGGCATTTGTGAATCCAAGGGGGCATTTTCTACTGCCTATATAGAGGATCACATAGGGAGAATAGAGGGAAGGAGATGGAAAGAACAAAAGAGAATTAAGAAAAAAAAGAGCATGTTGAGAGAGATAACTGAAAATAACACTGAGTTCTTTGGTTTGGTTGAAAATTGCTCCAAATTGGGTTTTGTTTCTGGTTGTCTGGCTTTCTTGTTTTGCTATAAACTTCTGAAAAATCACAAATCCTTGTATTTGGGAAGAATAGTTTGAGTTTTGGGTATTTGGAAGTTTGGTATAAGCTGTTTTGGTCCTGGGGTCCTGTTATCGTTGTTATTGTTTCGCTGCTGCTTCTACTCTTGTTGTTTCGCTTTTCAGCTCACTTCACTTGTTTTCATTTGCTGTCATCACGTACACTTCTGCATTTCACATAATGTAAGGTTTGATTTGGAATTAAGATGGCATTCGGAGCTTTGATTAGTAGTTGTAATCAGTTTTTTGTTTGTTCATGATTTAGCTTACTTGATTTACTTGCTTAAGTTTCTAGTTTATGATATATGGCATCCTGCTAGTTGTTAATAAACACTATGTTGTGAGCTGCATCTGGTTGTAAATCAGTGGGGTAATTTAGTTTCTCATTTAGATGCCTCCTAGTTAATTATTGGCAATTTGTACAGGGTGTTGAACTTGGGAATCAACTCTTATAAAATAATGTAATGGCAATGTGCTGCACCTAAATTGCTATGCCTGTTAGTTCATTAAGTTCTGCTGTAATTTTAGTTTAGTAGTATTCTGTTTGGATACGATGTATAAAGATATAGGTGATGTCCGTTTTATGAACCATGTTTAATTCAATAGAAGTGTTATTTTATTCAATTTTGTATGAAGTTAACTGATCATTGCTTATCATAAAAGAGAAGTTAAAGTTGTTGTTTACATGTATTCAATGTATAACTGCAAATGCAAAAGATAGACAGTAGACATATTAATATTATTATTTTTTAGTCACTATACTTGTTTTAGTCATAAAGTGTGGTTAAGCTCAATGATTAAGGGTATGCTTCTGCTCTGAAATATCAAATTCAAGCAGCCTGTTGAATTGTTTGACTGATTATAAAAATTCACAAAAATTTCGATTGTCGTTTACTGTTCAAACGCTGAGGCAGAATATGTTTTTCTCAATTCTCCGTTTGTTAAAAGGTGTGTGGCTTGATGAATGTGTGATTTTGTATATGTAATGCGTAAATCAGAGGGAGTACGTAAGTCAATAGGTGCAAAGAATTAAAATGAGTGTGTAAGTGCTAATGGATAAGATAATAAAAATGTGTAATTAGATCATAACAATCTTGGTAGTGACGTTTTTTGTGCTATGAGATTGAAAGTTTGAAGTTCATGAATTTTTTGATTAATTTAACAATACCTTTTATCTGGTTAGTAATTCATAAAGTTAAACATTACATTTTTCTATAATAATATCCATAACACATGACCCTCATATAATTAATCCTTAAAATCGAGGTGTGCCATTAGTGAATTTTTCATGGCCCTCGCAAAGTTGAAAGTGCATAGTTGCTTTAGGTGCGTTGTTACCTTCCTAAACTCGGGTGTGCATTTATGTGACCCAAATCCAAATCTCAACAATGTTAGATAAAATATGTCGAGGACTGCGGGTGTATTTATGTGACGTGGTTCAAGACGTGTTTTAAATAACGTTGAAATCTTCCCTAAAAAATAGTTAAATAAAGCGGTTAAAGTTAAAATTGAACCATAGGTTTAAAATGTATTAAAATCAGATAATAAGCCAATTATAACAGTTAAGCAACCGTGATAGAACCACGGAAGTCGGGAATGCCTAACACCTTCTCCCGGGTTAACAAAATTCCTTACCTGGATTTCTGTGTTCGCGGACTATAAAACAGAGTCAATCTTTCCTCGATTCGAGATTTAACCGGTGACTTGGGACACCATAAATTATCCCAAGTGGCGACTCTGATTTTTAAATAAAATAATTCCGTTTCGATTGTCACATAAATTAGAAAAAACTCCCTTACACCCCTCCGGGTGTAGGAAAAAGGAGGTGTGACAGCTCTGGCGACTCTGCTGGGGACAAGAACCCAGAATCTCTGGTTCAGAATTCTGAATTCGAGCTTAGATGAATTGTTATAGTTGGCTTTATTTATTATCTGATTTTGTTACATGTTTGGGCCTAATGTGCTAAATGATGTTTTTACCGCTTTGATATTCTGTGAACTGTATATAAACTACTACGAAACCAATTTGCTCTCTGAGTCTTCTAAATCATGGAGGAGTGTGCACTTGGTGTGATTTCTCTTCTGTTAGAGTCATATCNTCTAGAACAATAAACCCAGGTTTTAAACCTAGTATAACAAAGCCTCATGTTGGATCCCTAGTAGAAATGTTTATTTGCATCACGTGCATTTGAATTTGGAGACTCAACATAGGGGTTGGGTCTGTCTAGGACAGGTGTACCCGAAATGAAAAGGACCATCCTGATGCATCTTACTTGCTACTTGTGCATTTATTTGCTTCGTATTTGCATGTTGATCGGCTGATAAATAATGGGAGAAGGTTGGAAAAAACGAATAGCAATGTGAGGGTTAAGTGAGTTCGTCACCTGTTTTGAAAACCCCAATGTCCAAATAGTGCTGAAACTCTGCCGAATTTTTT